TGCTCTGTGGAAAAGTGGACGAAGACAGGAGAGTCCGAGACCCAAGGAAATGACCAATGTCCATATGAAGTATTGTCCAGTGACCATCCCTTCTCCCCTGATGCGGCCTCTCTGGCCAGCCTCTGACCCTCATCAGGTCATTCTAAGGCCACACGTGGAAGACTGGATTGACCACTCGTGACCAGCAGATCGTGGTCATTTTGGTCCGTAATGAAAAGTTCTTAACAATACAGATAACTATAAATGGAATTTAATCGTTCGGACACAAAACTACTTTAGAAGTTTAAATAAACCATTTCATTTTTAAATATCGTAAATTTAATTATAGTTATTATCAAAATGGCACATGCAATTAAACATAAGGTAGGCATGTCTAAACAGACGTCATTGGTCAAACGACGTTTGAGAACGAATTTATTGAAATCACAAGCGCTAATATTATTTTGGATAAAGGAAATCCAGTTCGATACTGAATCTGCTACCACTATCATCCTTTGATTCAGCCAGTGACGTAATCACCACTGTCTGTGTCGTCTTGACGACCCATCCATGTCATCAACATTAACGCTGCATATTTCTGCACGGCCGGATGCACCCACATCCCCGGTTGAAAACTATACACATACAAAGCGAAAACGGATTTTATGTTCATATTTTGACGTGCAAATTATTTATGGACAAGAATATCAATGACAGATATAAAACAATCAAGGATCCGAACCCATTAGCATTTAGGGGGTTGATGATTATGTATAATCTAGGAGCTTAACTTTTCAAGTACCGCATCAGACAACTCACATCGTAACGATTGCAGCATAGCCCCAGGCAAGCAAGGGGCAAAAGGTCACCGGACAAAGGCTTGAATATGAGGAGACTGAATCAAAGTCTCATTAACACAGCAAAGAAACTGACATCCTTAACCCCTCAAACACCGTTATATATTTAAAGAAAAAGGCTGAATTTATCCTATTCTATAATGGACCATTGCCATAGTATCCTACAGGTGCATACTGTTTGTTGAAGAATCTCGTTAACTTATTAACCGATAAACTTCAGGAAACTTTGTGTTTTCTATTAACAAACCTTTACACTACTCATCATAAATATACTGAGAGAAAAAAATAAAGGATCACAGGAAAATTCAAGCTTTCCTTTATTATTTGCAGTTTTCATTACCACAGCGCTATTCAAAGCTGGTGATGGAAACTGGAAAATATTAAAGGAACACTTGAATTTTCATGTGATCCTTTATTTTTTTCTCTCAGTATATTTCTTGTCCCGAAACTGCCCTTGTCAAACGTTGAATAGTATATATAGTTTGGCTTCGCTCCTCAGATGCTGCTTTCAAATCATTGAATCTAAGAAAACAAAATTGAAACATCTTTTTTAACCAACCACATTTTTCATTAAATGTTTCTACGTGCTCACAGAAAATCAGTTTTAATACAGAAACTAAATACAACTGTAAATCATATCAAAGTTATTGCGTATATGTCGTGTATTGTCAAACAGGTTAAGCCATGATAGTAATAATAATAATAGTAATAGTCCGCATATATGGCGCTCATATCCAGGCACATTGCCTGCTCATGGCGCTACGTACATTACTATCCCCGGTCATAGGACACTATCGTACTTTCCGATACTTTTTCAACTCCCTGGGGATCATACAGCGATGCGCAATGAACGTAACACTCACACTGCCAGGACATCCTCACGGGTACCCATTTTACAGCTGGGTGAACTGAGACAATGTGAATCTAAGTATCTTGTCCAAGGATACTACGCAAATGTGCCCACCTCGGGACCCGAACCTAGGTGCCTCCATCGGGGATCGAACCCGGGCCTTCAGCGTGATAGGCAGACGCCTTACCACTGCACTACTGCGCTCATGATCGTTGTGTTCTCCTCCGCAAAACAATCTTAATTGTTGTTTCTTTGTTTTTTCATAAACAGCAATACAGTTTATCTTCACCTTACACACACACAATATATGAAAGTTCCAAATCTTCAGTGGATTGTTTTACGATATTTGTAGACATTACGAATAAGCTCACAGTATTAATACAGATGGAGGAGGATAATATATATTAGATTTAAGAACAATCAGCATTTTCAGTAATTCTTGTTCGGTCAATCATGAGAAAACAATATTTTTCCAACATTTGGTTTAACCGGTATTGTTTTTCAAGTTTTTAAAGAATTTATTTTTATCACCACACCAAACTAATTCCAAACCCCACAATTTTCAAATAGTTTCGGTTTCACGGTCCACTTCGAAATTGTAGTTGTAAGTAAATGGAAGAGTGGAAAGACAAGGTGCACTTTTGTCCCAGTGGGTATTCATGATTTCAGATTTCAGCTACCCTTCTGAAAGGTGATGTATGCATTGAAAAGACAAATCGAATTTTGTTTTCATTTCATCACTATCATGTGAAATGAGCAAATATTTGGCCCAAGTTTGTTTTATTAGGAAACAACAAAAATGGTTAAAACATCTGGGTTCATATACGTACTAAGGAGAGATTCTGTTTAAGTTAAAGTTAAACAACCCAGCCTTTCAATAATGTTGTAGTTTGTACCTGTGTGACTGATCATGTCAAGGGACCCAAACTTGAACTGCAAATGTAAGAAAGAAAAACGTATACCTGTCCACCATAGACATATCTCCTTCATAATTCATAATATTTCAAAAGTAACAGTACAGTAATATTTTTCTTAAACATTGAAGAACGGCATATTTGTAATCGTTGACGTCAGGAACTACGTCCGTTGTTGGTTTTAAGTTACATAATTTGTCATTTTATTACAAAATATTACCATCGTATCTTACAAACTAACACCATTAACATTGTGCCCCTAAACGACATTATCTCTGACGAACATCACGTTTTCTTGACGTCATCAGTTCATGTGCACATCATGCATTACCTTGGCATACATAAATTTATGTAAGTTTAGTAAGGATCAAACGGGAGTATGTAACAAGGTGTATGATGTGCGTCACCAGTGATTTCTGACTGACCACTGTGACGTCACAACTCGCCCCAGGCGCTCGAGCTAGATTAGGCTAGATAACGTTACACCACCAGAAACACGTCAATACATTGTCTCTTCACCTCGAACGCACCACATACCTTTGCTGATGAAACTTTTTTCCAAATGTGGTAATTTTCAACAGCACCCTTTGACCCTTTCAGTGCTGACGTTATCAAAATATGAAAATGGAAGCCTCAGCACAAAACCTTTACTTTAGAATCATATACATTTGTATCGGTATTAAAACAGTTGTTTGGTGCAATGGAAATGTAACATGTATTTAAACAGCGTTAACAGAGATACCCACACGCATATGAGAAGGGGGAAGACACACAGAGAGAGGAGAAGAGAGAGAGAGAGAGACAGAGACACACAGAGAGAGAGACAGAGACACAGAGAGAGAGAGAGAGACAGAGAGAGAGAGAGAGAGAGAGAAAGAGACAGAGACACAGAGAGAGAGAGAGAGACACAGAGAGAGAGAGAGAGAGAGAGAGAGAGAGAGAGAGAGAGACAGAGAGAGAGACAGACAGACAGACAGACAGACAGACAGACAGGGACAGAGATAAAACGTTCCCACTCGTGATCCATCACTGTTATTCCCCTGCCAGATTACTGTGTTTTCGTAATTTTACAGCATCCTCTCACGATGATATGATACCTGTTGTTTTTGGCATGCATAAAAAACAAGAAAGCAACCCGTACACATCTCACTCAAAAATACAGATCAGTTCAATTTGCGGATGTATCAGGGACGACAACAACCCAGATAGCATTCAGACGTTGGTCCAACGTTTGCAATGGTTTTGCCAACATTGCCAACATTGGGCCAACGTCCGAATGCTATCTTGGAAATAGCACCGTTGTGCGTTTGCGTTTACCAATAATTGCCGACTTGCTCCGATGCCAAGGAATGGCAATACATCTTTTTCTATTTTCATGGATGAACCCTTGTTATAACTCACTGCGATACTCTACAAGTTTCATTGACAATATAGGAGATCGAGTGAACGTGGTTTAAGAGACTTAAAGGGGCGGGGTGAGATAATGGTTAAAGCATCCGCTCGTCACACTGAAGACCCGGGTTCGATTCCCCACATAGGTACAATGTGTGAAGCCCATTTCTGGTGTCCCCCGCCGTGATATTGCTGGAATATTGCTAAAAGCGGCGTGAAACTAAACTCACTCACTCACCATACGACGTCTTCCAGCCTAGTAGTTACACTTGATGACTACCTCTATCTGGTACCTGTTCCTTAAACTAACATCTAGTCTCTGAAATGAACATATTTTACAGAAAAAACGGCTCCTAAAGTATAATCAGAAAATGTAATGAAAAGGAGAAGAGACTTTCTTCATTTTCAGAGACAGTGGTAATCTAGACTTGCCACATATTCGAGACTAGTCTGTCTCACAGTCCCTGAACCACATTAATTTCCCTACTGCTAAGCCCACTCTGCAGTGCTAAAGCCCAAAATAAAGCAAGTCTAGATTTTCTCAGGTTCTGAATCTCTGGTCTCCCTAGGGCTCCTTTTCAATTTAATTGGACTTGTTTGTTACTGACTGACTGACTGAGTTTAGTTTTACGCCGCTTTTAGCAATATTCCAGCAACATCACGGCGGGGGACACCAGGAATAGGCTTCACACAATGTACCCAGGTGGGGATTCGAACCCGGGTCTTCGGCGTGACGAGCCAACGCTTTAACCGCTAGGCTACCCCACCGCCCCTGTTTGTTACTATCAAAATTATATATATTCAGAGGCTAAGCCTTAGTCTTATTCTAGACTTGCATTGGCTTTCTTGGATATATTTGAGGCAGGGTCTGTATGCCAGACTACTATTCCTCGATACGTGTGTTCGGAAGCGGAAACACCAACATTGAAATGATGAATGCATGAGATCTAGGCGACTGATTGTTGAACTCTGTCAGGTCAAGCGTCATTTGTCGTATAGAGACTGAACATGGATCCATGCCCTCCGCGTTCACTGTGGCCTCGCGACAACTTCATCACTGACCCTCACGACTCCTGCGGTGACCCCCACGCCGACTCTATCGCCGATCCCAAGCATCGGTAGTAACATGTCGTGCTCCACCGGGGATGGGATCGGATGAGATGTACAGCTGCCGATCGCAACAGTCATATCCATAAATAGAACTTGATTATATTAATAGAAACGAAGGGAAATAAGTAATCCATCGATCTATTCGCTTCCGTGAGATGAATATGGTTTGGGAGATGGATGGGGAGGGGAGGTGTGACTCATTTTAAAATATATATTCAAGTAAAATTAAAATGAGCCTGCCATGGCATTAACTTTCTTACTTAAAATGTTAAAAAATAATTACATGTGCATTCTAATCCCATCTACTCATCGAAATTCGACAAATTCTTCATTGCTGGAAATGAAAGATTGAATGTCACTGTAGAACAGGAAGTGAGAGAGTGACATTTTATGCTACAGTCGGCAAGGTAATACATAATACTTCGCCATGCGATGAACTAACACATGATGGTCCGGGCAAGTGCGCGAAATAGTTTCCAAATTTTGCTAGCCAATCGGGCTAGCTATGCTTGAAAGTTATTAGCCCACAAAATAATTCGCTAGCCCGAATTTGAATGTAGGAACTAAGCAAAAGATTACACAAATAGATGAGAATAAGATATTGTCGGCATGACACGGGTTTCATCATTAAGTTGTTAATTTGAACATGTTTATCAGGCCATAATCTTGCATGATTTGAAAGTGTATTATAACTTAACAAGTCGGAGAGAGTGATATATTTACGAAATATGTCCATGAAAATTCACTAGCCAGTCGGGACAGTGACTGTGGCAATTTACTGATCCGACTGGAATTTTACTAGCCACGGGCTAGCGGGCCAGTGGCTATTTCGCACACTGGTCGGACAAACCATTGTTTGAATACTTGGGACAACGCTATACTAGGCCGCAAAGAAGGTAAAACGCTGCTTTGTCAGTATACAAGTCATATCATAGACTAACAACTAGTCTCTGAAATGAACATATTTTACTGAAAAAAGTTCATAGTAAAAAAAATATATATATAATGAAAAGGAGCCCTGAGACTTTCTTCATTTTCTCGTACAGACCCTGAAGCTGAGGAAATCTAGACTTGCCACATTTTCTAGACTTGTGTGGGCTTTCTTGGATATATTTGCTTCAGGGTCTGTACGAGAGACTAGTTAGATGTTGGAGGAAATCCTTAAGTATCGAACCCGAGAAGATCCGGGTTAGAATTGGTCTTCAGCAACTCATGCTTGTCGTAAAGGCAACTAACGGGATCTTGTTGTCAGGTTCGCTGACTTGGTTGACACGTGTCAACGTATCCCAGTTGTGTAGATCGATCCTCATGCTGTTGATCACTGGATTGTCTGGTCCAGACTCGATTATAGCTGCCGCCATATAGCTGGAGTATTGCTAAGTGCAGCATTACCAGCAAACCAACCAGTCTTACGTATCGAGGACACTTAATATCTTACACCAGTTTAAAGCGAGTACGGCGCTGACGAATTTAGGTTGAATATGGGATTCAAACAGAGTCACCTTGCCAATACAAGATATAATCATCTAGAATCGCTGAAGATATGTTATGTGGTTCGGAAAACACAATGGACTCAACTGGATTATGAAAAATGTAAACAACCAGTGATGGTCAGATTGGAGTGAGTAAGTGTAGTTTTACGCGGCGGTTAGCTATATTCCAGCAATGACACGGCGGGGGTAATCAGAAATGGACTTCACACATTGTACCGTTGTACGAGCGAACGCCTTAACCACTTGGCCACCAAACCACTCTGAAACAGAGGGAAATGTATGTTCTTCATAGTAAACGACTCTAGCAGTCACTTGACTCTCGACCTTAACACGTGTTTTTTTGGTTTTAAGTTAGTTAGTTTGGTGTGTGTTGTTGTTGTTGTTTTCCTGTTTTGTATTTTTTGTCTCACCAAATTGGCAAATTTCTCCATCACTCCAGGCATATTTTCCAATACCAGTCTGATACCCATGCCATACAACTGAAGCACCATCCAAAGGGATTTTAAACTCACTAACCCACTCACTCCAATGTCCAATGTGTAACCTTTTACTTGACAATCGATAAGTTTAGCCAAATATATTGAACATTGAAGGGGTAATGGAGGCGAAGAACGGTTTGATATGGCACGAGTGGCGCTTAAAGTGTTGAATTAAATATGTTTTACGTGAGTAATTATGAAATATGAGGTTGGAAATCTGAGAGCACAACCCTGTGAGGAAATGGGTGTCTACATTTGATGGTGGCGATATTTTATTTTGATATTAAAAATATTTTTCGAACTGAAGCGAGGGAAGTACGTTGCCAACCTTTGCTCGCTTCGCGCGCATATAGGAAGACTGGTCATTTTCTCTTTGTTGCGCAACCCTATTTGCGCTACAGTTTGCCTGTGCCTCAAGCTATGGCATTGTCTGTCCCTTTCATCTAGTTAGAGAATGAACTGAAAATTAAGTAAAACTTCACTGACTCATTTGAAAGAAATCAATGCTCTGGGCTCCATTTATGATTTTTTTTCTTCTATTTTTTTACAAATATAATTTTAGAAAGATTACGTTATTTCTGGCACTAAAGGTCAGTTGCGGTGGGGTAGCCTAGTGGTTAAAGCGTTCACTTGTCACGCCGAAGACCCGGGTTTGATTCCCCACATGGATACAATGTGTGAATCCCATTTCTGGTGTCCCCTGCCGTGATATTGCTGGAATATTGCTGAAAGCGGAGTAAAACTAAACACACTCACTCAGGGTCAGCTTACGTCCGACCAACCTCCCGTTCACTTTTAAACGTCAATTGACTCGGTGTGCCAAACTAACATCTCGTCTCTGAAATAAACTAATTTACAGAAAAAAGCAGTTCCTAAATTCTCTTAATAAACTATAATAAACAGGAGACAGAGTCTTTCTTCATTTTCAGAATCAATCTAGACTTGCCATGTACTAGTATTAAAGACTTGTCTATTTGCTGCACGGTCTGTATGACAGACTTCCGGTGGTCAGAGTCGAACGTTGCGCAGTGACAGTGAATATACTGAGGGAATCAAATAAGGGACACCACTTCATCGGAGCGTTCCTCTATATATTCTCAGATTCTCACCCACAGTGTGATACAAAGCATGTGAAGAAACCTGGAAAAAAATAAAGGAACACTTGTGCTTGTCATTTTGTCCATCCGATCAACTCAAAAGAGGTGTCATGCAGCAATACTAAATGGTACTTTCCCCTTTATGTCTTTCCACGTTGTCCTCGACAACAGAAACACGTGGTCATGACGTCACACACAAGATTACTACAACGACTACATTTACACAACGGTAAACATAAATCTCTACATTGGGTGGTTTCGGCAAAAAGTTTTTTAAAATGATCGACATTAACAAACATGTTTAAGTTGCTTTCTTCTAACAGCCTGAACCTCAGGTTCAGACATTCAAAGTTTCACTCTTTAAACCAGGTTCGAAGAAACAATTCGCCAACGAACAATAGTATTCAATAATTTGCATTTTCTACAGTTATAAGCAATTTGTTTCGTTTCGTGTCATTCAAAGTTTCACTCTTTAAGCCAGGTTCGAAGAAACAAGTATTCAATATTTTGCATTTTCTACAGTTATAAGCAATTTGTTTGCTTTCCTGTCATTCAAAGTTTCACTCTTTAAACCAGGTTCGAAGAAACAATTCGCCAACGAACAATAGTATTCAATAATTTGCATTTTCTACAGTTATAAGCAATTTGTTTCGTTTCGTGTCATTCAAAGTTTCACTCTTTAAGCCAGGTTCGAAGAAACAGTTCGCCAACGAGCAATAGTATTCAATATTTTGCATTTTCTACAGTTATAAGCAATTTGTTTGCTTTCCTGTCATTCAAAGTTTCACTCTTTAAACCAGGTTCGAAGAAACAATTCGCCAACGAACAATAGTATTCAATAATTTGCATTTTCTACAGTTATAAGCAATTTGTTTCGTTTCGTGTCATTCAAAGTTTCACTCTTTAAGCCAGGTTCGAAGAAACAGTTCGCCAACGAGCAATAGTATTCAATATTTTGTATTTTCTACAGTTATAAGCAATTTGTTTGCTTTCCTGTCATTCAAAGTTTCACTCTTTAAACCAGGTTCGAAGAAACAATTCGCCAACGAACAATAGTATTCAATAATTTGCATTTTCTACAGTTAGAAGCAATTTGTTTCGTTTCGTGTCATTCAAAGTTTCACTCTTTAAGCCAGGTTCGAAGAAACAGTTCACCAACGAGCAATAGTATTCAATATTTTGTATTTTCTACAGTTAGAAGCAATTTGTTTCCTTTCCTGTCATTCAAAGTTTCACTCTTTAACCAGGTTCGAAGAAACAATTCGCCAACGAACAATAGTATTCAATAATTTGCATTTTCTACAGTTAGAAGCAATTTGTTTCGTTTCGTGTCATTCAAAGTTTCACTCTTTAAGCCAGGTTCGAAGAAACAGTTCACCAACGAGCAATAGTATTCAATATTTTGCATTTTCTACAGTTTTAAGCAATTTGTTTCCTTTCCTGTCATTCAAAGTTTCACTCTTTTTTTAAACCAGGTTCGAAGAAAAATTCGCCAACGAGCAATAGTATTCAATATTTTTTATTTTCTACAGTTATTAGCAATTTGTTTCGTTTCGTTGTTGTCAGAGATGGTATTTATACAATAGTTAAAGAAGACCTGCCAGTAGATTCACACCCAGTCCAAACTGATCCCATTAATACAAACTGTGGTTTTATTCCCCCCCCTCCCATTGTATCAGAAGGTGAAACACGGGTCAGCGAATACAGGGACCCTCGGACTGGGATCGGTGCTCGGTGACGCGGAAAGTCCCTGCGCAGTACTTCCGGGTGTATAGTTAAACATATACAGACTAGTCGCCTGTCTATAAATTACTAATATGAAAAAAATATATGATATAATCATGTCGAGGGGACATTAATCAACGATTTAACATTTCCTATTATTTTTGTCTTCTTTATTGCTAGATTTCCAAAAGAAAAACAGAACTCTAAGCGTAAATAATACAAAATATTTGTCATTTGGAATTTGCGGAAAATAACTTATGTACTTATTCATCATCACGATAATGAATTAAAGTGGATTGTAGAGTGTGTTTTAAGCTACACGGTCGTTAAATTTCTTATATGGGGACATTTTGACAAACAGCCATATTTTAATGTGATTCTGTGGTTAAAATGTATATGGTTTCGCCCCGAATTCTAATTCGAACTAATATACTTTGAAGAATAACTTGATATTTAAATATCTTTTCGATCAATGTTCCTATTGGAAACGTAATATCTCCAACTTAACCATACCTATGGAAATGCCCAATGATGTGATGCACCTCAGTACTTCTTTGTACCGAAGTTTTGGTATTTGGTCATAACATTTCAAGTGAAAGTTTTACGATGTTCTTCCCGATTTTCATTGCTCCTTCCCCTTTGAGATCATACTCGATGTTCTTTAATATTCTCAAAATAGAAGTAGAGATGTCATAGTCGAGATTTACATAAAGAATTATTTGAATGCAAACAATTTATAAAAGTTTAATTAATTAAATGTATTAAAGTGATCGTTGTAGGATGATGGCAACGCGGTGAACATTATGAAGGTTTGAGACTCTCAAATCTTTTTCTGTTTCCGCTCTGGAAACGATTATTGTTTTTTTTTTTCCTTTTTTTTTTCTTTTTTTGGGGGGGCTTCTTGTTGTTTTCGCAATTGTTTTTATGTTTAAGAGTATCTTATTTCAATAAACAAAGCTCACTCCGAATCAATTGTCCCCGTAAGGCCAAGCGCCCTTGTCATCAATCTCATAACCAACGCTTGTTAATCATAGAAACTCTCCACAAATTCAAATTAATTGCGTCAGGTTTAAATTTGACCCAACGCTTGCCCTGACCAGGGCATGGCAGACAGATGGGACCCTTCCCCCGTCAAACCACGTGACAGGGATGGGGTACCGCAGGGGGTCGGGCACAACATGTTTAGGCTAAACCCACCTCCTCCAATGGAAAAGAACGATGTTTGGAAGTAAAGGTCAGGGGTCGCAGACTTAGAACAAAAGGGCAGCGGTGTTCACCGTTGCTTTCACCTGACCTTGGTGACCCCGGGGGCAGCGATTACGTCGATGCAAGGTCAGTAATTGGTTTACGTGAGACTCTCTGGGCGATATAAGACCGACGGCTCCTGTTTCTTGCATTACTAGACACGAGCTTTTACAAGCGACAACCATGGCTCTTTACGACTGCAATGCGAGTTTCACACAAGTTGCCTTTACCGTAGAGCACAATAATTACAGAGAAATAAGGTAAGGGTTTCATTTAATTAAAATTTTCAAAAAATCAAATGTATAATTGTTTCAGGTTATTTTTAAGTTTTATTTACTGAAGCCTCTCACTTCATCTATAATTGTAATGATACGTATTTATTATATTTTAGGAGCTATATTTAAAATGTTTCGTTTAAGAAAAAATACTGTGATTACAATTGGTAAGGTAATTCACAGTCCACTGTACGCCGATGCTGTTTGATATTACTTATTAGAAAATATTACTTATAGAAAATATTTAAACAATAATTTTCGAATTTATGAAGACGTTTTGGAACAGTTTTTCGTTTGTAAAATATCTTCCTTTCTTTGCGCATTGCAAAATACTCTCTTCAGCGTACTACATATTCCTCAGTATTTCACATAGATGCTGTATTAATGTGAGGAAATAGTCAACATTCTTATGTTCAGTAGCTGATTGTTAGGCTATCAAGTCTGACATTAGACACCGTAGTTTAATGATAGTTATATTAAGAAAACCAACACCCCAGGTGTTCGAATTAAAATGAATGTCCGTCAGACATTCAACAGCAGCAGCAGCGGTAGTAGTAGTAGTAGTAGTAGTAGTCGTAGAAGCAGTAGCAGTATTAGTAGTAGTAGTACTAGTAGTACTAGTAGTAGTAGTAGTAGTAGCAGTAGTAGTAGTAGTAGTAGTAGTAGTAGCAGCAGCAGTAGTAGTAGTAGTAGCAGCAGCAGCACTGTCACATATGTTCGCGAGGTTTGTGAGTGTATGCGCGGTTGTGATGTAAACTATTCAGGAAACCGTTAATGTTTATGTGTGTCCAGTGAGAAAGTATCAGCGATATTATATGTATTACAAAGGGAAATCAGTACTCATCCAGTATACAATAGCTTAGTCGATAAAAGAAAATGTTTGTAAATATCGTAAACCTCTCAAATATGACGTATGTAGGCTAGTTACCTTTGAATGAAATAGGACCGCTTAAAGTAATGGCTCTTCATTACGAAAGGATGAAAATAGGACGCAGCGAAATTAATCTCACTTTTTTTTTTCCTTCTTCGTCTTATTAGATTAACGCGCATTAGTTTATAGTGGAGCTAAAAGATATCTACCTGCTAAATTTGCATAATTGTGTGTCATTTACCATCGGACCTTCGACACTGATGTATACTAAAATATCACAGTTGTGTCATTGCATTTTCTGTTTAGTAAAAGAACTCTGCTGTGCATCCTTATTAAATAGGTTTTTTATATTTTGAGGAATTTACAACTCAATAATCACATATTATACCGGCAAGGAGTGTCCAACCCGCTTTTCGCGCTCACTCAAGTGTACCACGTGACCGCGCTGCGCATGCGTGACCGAGGGAGAAGGTCATATGAGGTGAGGACTGGGGTCACACCGGCTACACACAGAGGTCAAGTTGTCGCGTGCTGGGCGGAGCGTGGTCATTCAGACTGACCACTCCCACGCGTGGGTTTGCCAAAGCGGACTTGCGGTCTGCCGGTCAACGTATGATACTGCCAATTAAACTGATATCGTGTTATGTGTACATGATCTAGAATTTGGTCGATACCCGATGTATGTTAAATTAAACAAAAGACTTATATGTTTTTGGCATAAAATGGTAGCAAACACCCGCCAAGCTAAACTATCATATAATATTTATTCTACCATGCTGCAAGTTTGTTCTGAAATTAATGTATTACCCTGGATTGAATTTGTAAGAAATACACTAAATGACTGTGGTTTAACTGAAATATTTTATAATCCATTTCTCTGTACAACTAAGTTTCCCTCTCTTAAGATTGAACAGATCCTCAAAGACCAATTTCTACAGAAATGGCACACTTCCATGATACAGAGCTCCAAATCCGCTTTTTATCGTATCTTAAAACCAATATAGAATTTGAGAGATATCTCTTTCTGCCAAAACATATGTATTTCCCGATTTTAAGATTCAGAACAAGTAATCACCACCTCCCTATAGAAGTTGGGCGTTGGGCAAATGTTCCTAGAGAATATCGTCTGTGTAATTTAACTCTCATGCAGTAGGAGATGAACTCCATAATCTGTTCAAATGCGATGCTTTACTACTGTATAGATAAACATATTTACCTTCTTACCTGAATCCAATTACCGTATAGAAAATCGTCAAACTGTTCTCGTCTAAACAAACGCGTCATCTTAAAACTTTTGCTATGAATATTAATGCAATATTTAAGTCCACAAAGATACATTAACTTTTGGTTGTTTTTCTTTGGCTTTTATCTGCCATCTTGACATGTTAATTTACATGAATATAGTAATTTTTGTATTCTCATGTACCACCGTTGGTGGTGTTTCGAGAAATAAATTGAATTGAATTGAAAAATTGAATATAAACAAATATACTGTCAAGATATTTTCGTAACTGAAGAGATTAAAACATCTCAAGTTAATTATAGCAAGTGGGTGTGGGTGTTTATGAATGCCAAGTTATTTACAGAAAGGAACAAAACGGTTGGAAGTACAGTGTTACTCATTTTCAAGTAAGAAAATAGGCTACTCCGAAATGCCGTGTACCTTATAATAGAGAAGTTGACAACTATAGATTTCCCATTCACATAACCATGTACATCGACTTTCACTTATACGGCTTAAAGACGTAAAATATAGCTCCCTTGGCAAAGCGTTCGCATCTTGCACGTCGCAGTTCAAATCGTTACTACCCGTGAAAATACCGGTTTAAATTGGTCTTCAGCAATTTTAACCCATGCTTGTCGTAAGAGGCGACTAATGGGATCGGGTGGTCTGGCTCGCTGACTTGGTTGACACGTGCCATCGTATCCCAGTTGCGTAGATCGGTGCTCGTGTTGTTGATCACTGGATTGTCTGGTCCAGACTCAATTATGTACAGACCACAGCCGTATGGCAGGAATATTGCTGAGTGCGGCGTAAAACATCAACAAACAAATCAGATCGTTATTCTTACCAAACTCTTGTCTCGTGGTTAAGATTTTAAAGACAAAGAATGACACGCGTTTCTTGTTCTTTCATAAAAATTATAATTTATTTAATATTGTCAATACTAATGATATTCTGTAATAATCAGGATTATTCATATCTGTGTTTTGTTGCAGTTTGTTGGAGCCGAATGAGAGAAGCCTGCTTGCCATTTTGTCTGTGGTGATACCATCAATTCTACCCATGATCCTACTCGTTACATCCTGGCAACTATGGTACATCTACAACGTGAACTGCCGAGACCAAACCTGCAAACTTCCGCTTCCGCCTGGCAGCATGGGACTTCCGGTCATTGGGGAAACACTTAATCTTGTATTAATGGTAGGCTATCTATTCTGTTAAAATTAATTAATTATGATTTTTAAATGAATGGGCTTCGAATTCATGTATTTCTTGAATACATTAAAGAAAACATCATCTCCCGAAATATATGATTATACAATTTTAATCCATGAATCCGTGGGTATTCTGGGTAAATATCAGAGGTCACTAGCAACCTGTGGTTGTCTTAAAGGGAGATGTGTGCAGTTGGGTCGATGCTCTGTATGTCAAGATGTAACTGATGTCAAGATTCAAGTATTTAATTACTGCCGTTACATAGCTGTAACATTGCTGAATTGAAATCTAACTGGAATGAAACACGCAAACATGGTTTTACTCCACAGAATCAATTATATGATTAATTAATAATAATATAATATTGCCTGATGGTGTATTAGAGATGGCCAGGGAAGATTCAGAGCAGAAGAGTCCCATTAAGTCCATCCTAAACGTTGAACTACATGAAGATCCTGTTTATCATGTACGGTCATGTTGACCATCGTAATCTGACAGCCTGGGTTGTTGCTCTTGCTGTCAACCACTGGTTTGGCCGCCTTGTTATAGGTTCGTAAAACCACACTTAGTTTAGAACTCTTGCATACTTTCTTTGCATTTCAATCGAAACGACAATGTTACCTTTTTCCAGGGCGCAAAGTTCTACAAACAGAGACTTAAGTCGTACGGGAACGTCTTCAAGACTCACATTCTGGGAAACCCTACCATCCGGGTTGTTGGAGCTAAGAACATCCGTAAAATTCTACTGGGAGAGCATTCGCTTGTGACTGCCTACTGGCCCAAGAGCGTCCGGACCCTCATGGGGGCGGGAACAGTGACCCACGCTATGGGCGACACCCATCGCCTCCGACGTAAGGTTATCCTGAAGGCCTTCACCCACAAAGCCCTGTCGTCGTACGTCGGCGCCGTCCAAGACGTCACCCGCTCCTACATTCAGAAGTGGTGTCAGCAGGGATATGTCTTCGGGTACCCAGAATGCAAGAGTATGACGTTCAAGACAGCGTGCCGCGTGCTGGTGGGGTTCAAGGTCAGCGAGAAGGAGCACCAGCATCTACTGAGGACGTTTGGGGAGTTCACAGACAGCCTCTTCTCCCTACCCTTCAATGTTCCCGGATCTGGCTTCAATAAGGTTTGTTTGTTTGTTCTTACGCCACAAATGGCAGCATTGTACAATTTACCTGAAAAAGGCAAATGTATTGATTTTCAAAGGTAAAATATCTAAGATACTCAGCAGTTATGTAAGATGCGACGAATCGTTTTTAGTTATATAGAAGAAATACATTAAAGAAAATAACACCTTGTAAAAGTATTCCTCATATTGCGTATATTTACAATGTCACTAAGTTCAGACACTTTCAAATGAAAAATCAACCAAGGTGTTTACACTAAAACACTGTTGTGTCGAACATACGTTTGTCTTCAGGTGAAAACATGTCCCCTACGTATGCCTCCTTTATATTTCGGTTGTGTCGAACTTTGGATAACTCGAAGTAATTACGTAGTTCCCTTCGACACAGCGGTGTTGACTGGGATTTTACCCTCAGATTTCGTTAGTATTCATTGAGATATTTCTCTCTAGGGTCTGCACGCTCGTCAAAAGCTATTGTCCAAGATCGAGGAGTGCCTTCATCGACGGAGGGAAGAGGGGGGCGGCTTCGACGCCTTGTCCCTTATGATGGGGATCGAAGGGGAGGAAAAACTAACGCTTGATGAGCTGAAAGACGTCGGCCTTGAACTTCTGTTTGCCGGCCATGCCACGTGCGCCAGTGCAGCGTCATCCCTACTGACCCATCTCGCCAAGAATAAACACGTGAGTGTGGCTACTACTACTACTACTACTACTACTGCTACTACTTCTACTCACGATATGGCTGAAATATTGCCAATGTGACGTTAAATATTAACTCACTACTAATAATAATACTAATATTATTACCACTTCTCTGCTACTGCTACGACTTTTACTTCTGCTAAGACTACGACTACTACTGCGCCCACTTCTACTACTATTACTATCTCTTAGATACACATGCGAAGCTTGCTTGATGTAACTTCAATAGTTTCTGAGAAAATCTATTTCACCCAGTGTGTATACGGTAAAAGCATGGAACAAGGGCCATAAAATGATAATTTTAGACACAAATTTTCGAACTTTTCATGACAAGCAACATCAGTTTGTACATCATTTCCTAGACTAAGGCTTAGTCTCTGAATATATATAATTTTGATAGTAACAAACAAGCCCATTTATATTGAAAAGGAGCCCTAGGGAGACCAGAGATTCAGAACCTGAGGAAATCTAGACTTGCTTTATTTAGGGCTTTAGCACTGCAGAGAGGGCTTGGCAGTAGGGAAATTAATGTGGTTCAGGGACTGTGAGACAGACTAATCATTTCCCTGCTTTACTAGTTTTTGCGAAATATTGCTCCTATTGAGAGGCGGACGGAAGGAAGGAATCACGGACGGGTGGCCGGACGAATTCACTATACATGTGTCTCCATATATATTTACGCGGGGGTTGGGGGGGGGCAACTAATCACAATGATCTTCATGCAAGCATTCCGCACATCGCTACAGACAATACCTAGACGCTATAGGCCCCCAAATATTCTTAAGGCACATCTTGATGTAACATGACACAACGATGACCCAACACGAGCAGTTGTTATGACAATGACGAGCCCAATGGTTCGATAACCTTGACATTAACAGTAGATCTACTGAAAGCCCTCCTGACCGGCTCACACAGGAATTCAAAACGTGCACACTGTGACGTAACGATGACGTCATCACCACCGGGTCATTCACCCCCAGTTGCCCGGGGGTTCATAAATAGCACCCGGGGCTGGTGGAATCAACTACCAAACAGGTTGCGCCTCCATCCCACGACTTAGTGCCGCTATACATGGCCTATACGTAACGTTTTGTATGAGGGACGTAATTGAACGCTGAAAACGCGTAACAACGTTTTGTTTCAATATGGCAAGCATACACATTACGTCATGAGAAGGAGGGTGATCGCATGCAGAGGTTTTCATTAATTCATAAAAGAAATAGGAATTTTGCAATAGAGCGCTAACATATAGGGACAGTTTTAGAAACTAGTTAAAAGCTGTCCCTCGCAGTAGCACTTGACTAATGAATAGTTGAGGCAGGTCGGCTGTGGCTACTTATTAATTAAAATGTCCCAGTAACGATTAAGACCAGGCGTATTCTAGGAAATACGGTAAACTGTACAAGTCACAAAGAAGAACCGAAAACGTAACGACATAATATATTTATTATACTTAGAGAGGCCTAAGACATGTTCGTCGCACTATTTTCTACATACATGTATTTATCTGAAAGCAAAAAGCATTTTAGTAGACCTACAAAAACATCAAGCGTTCATGTTAAACTGATAAGCGTCTTGGGGAGGACACCTACGGAAAACTTATTTTTCGTCAGTATTAATTATTTTTCGTCAGTATACAACTGAAGGACTGTTGATCACGCTCAAATTGTAATGATTAGTTTTATTATTATTATTTTATTTATTATTGATGGCAGGTTGTTGACCGGATAACGGAGGAACTAAAATGTCACGGTCTGGATGAGGATGACAGAGAGCTGACGCTGGAGAAAATAGGTCAATTGAAATACGTGTCCAATGTGGTGAAAGAGGTTCTTCGACTAGCGCCACCTATTGGCGGAGGATTCAGAAAGGCTCTGAAAACATTTGAAATTGATGTAAGTCACTTTTCTTTGGTTTTACGCCTCACTCTTTCAGTTACATGACGACGGTTAAACATTTTCGAATCTTTGCGTTTTATAAAAATGATATCGGTTTGCAAGAAGCTAGAGAATGCATTATAGAGGAGTCCAAGTCTGGGCATGTATGGATCGTGTCACCTCTGAAATCAAGAATTGTTCTAGTTTCCTTTTGGATTATATTTGTCTGTGTGTTTATTGATCTTACATACAATATATGACTATTACAACACAATTAACTGAATAATAGATATTATTCGATACTGCAGTAGACTGTTAAACCGGTAAACTAATTGCTGATCAATTTTCGTTTCATTTTTTTTGTAATCGGTTTAGCTAATTGCTGATCAATTTTCGTTTCAGGGTTACCAAATACCTAAAGGATGGACGGTCGCTTTTAGCATCCGAGAAACACAGGAACTCACAGAAATATTCAGTGAAAGCGACAGATTTAACCCCGACAGATGGAATTCAGTTTCAGACGACCGGTTCCATTACGTTCCGTTTGGAGGCGGAAGTCGAACGTGTGCTGGGAAGGAACTTGCCAAACTCATGCTAAAAATATTCGCCATCGAACTGGCAAGAAACTGTACATGGCGTCTTTTGAACGAGTCTTCAAAAATGAAATACATTCCTGTTCCGTATCCGGTGGATGGACTTCCAGTTCACTTTTCACAAATTTCTAAAACCAAAAGACCACGTGCTTTCACGTGGTGAGTCACGTGAACGAGACACTACTGAATTCCATTTTTGACTGGTAATGTGATTGCGGTTCGTAAACGTAATATGAAGTGTCACTAACAGAAGGAACCCAGTTTTCCTATGACGGTGTCTATATTCTGCAAGCGGCAAACCTGTCTCGCCCATAGTGATCAGCAAGAAAGTACTATACCGTCCATATTCTCTCTTAAACCTCCATGGCACAAGTATCTGTGCTAGCCTGTTTCGGGGGCAGTGGGGGGGAACCGAGTGGTTAAAGTGTTTCTTTGTCACGCCAACGGTTTTATTCCTCACGTACGTACATTGTGTGGAGCCAATTTCTGATGTCACTCACACTGATGAAATATTGCTAACAGCAGCCCAAGCCAAACTCACCCATACTTATCCATACTCGCTCACTCACTTACTCACTCACTCACCGACCAACACTACCTCACTTCCCTTGTCATAAAGACACCCACCCATCCATACTCACTCACTCACAGATACTCACTCACTCACCCTCCACCACTCACAGATACTCACTCACCCTCTCACTACGTCTTCCGATCTACGCCTTTAAAATTGTCGCGTTGATTCAGAATGTGTTCATGGTTTAAGAATATATATTTATGTCTTAAAATCATATAATAAATCAAATCAGAGCCTTTAGATTATAAATATATTTTGTTTATTTATGTAATAAAATTTTGAAGTCACGTTGTCTTTGGTTGTTATGTTGCACTGTCGTTATGTCACTGGATTGTCTGGCCCGGACACGATATTTTTTAAAGACCATTAGGGTTAGCCTAGTGGTTAAAGCGTTCGCGCGTCACGCCGATGACCTGGGTTCGATTCCCCACATTGGTGCAATGTGTGAAACCCATTTCTGGTGCCCCTCGCAGTGATATTGCTGGAATATTCCAAAAGCGGCGTAAAACTTCACTCACTCACTTGATGTTGACACGCCCTGGCACCTGAAATACTCTTGGCAACTGTGTCAACCTGCCCTCGCTTTAAATGCACTGAAAATCCGTTATGCCGGCTACCGTTTCAAGTACATATAACGTCATTCAACGGTAACCAAAAATCACTTCACATCTGTAAGAAATCTCTGCCAAAACTAGAGTTGATTGTACAATTCATTCAGAAGTATTGCAACTGTACGATGCGGGCTTTAAAAAGAAATCTAGTCTGGACCAGACAATCCAGTGACTGACAACACGAGATACGATGACAGAGCACATGTTTTGTGACACCAGGTGTTCGCGAAAAGGTGAGCGTATCCTGCTCCACCGGTGGGACCCGTCACAAACACATGCAAAGACTAGTCAACTGTTCGCCTGAATAATATCAGGAACATATAGTACAAGTCAAATGAGGGAATTGCATCGCATATTATTTGTGTTACTAATGCAAAAATATAAATGTCATCTACATGATTACTATAATTGTTGTAACCTTGATCGAACAACAAATCGTGATAAAAAGAGCATGCTCGGTTGTACCTCAAGTGAGTGAGTGAGTTTAGTTTTACGCCGAACCCAGCAATATTCCAGCTATATGGCGGCGGTCTGTAAATAATCGAGTCTAGACCAGGCAATCCAGTGATCAGAAACATGAGTATCGATCTGCGCAATTGGGAACCGGTGACATGTGTCAACTAAGTCAGTGAGCCTGACCACCCGATCCCGTTAGTCGCCTCTTACGATACGCATGGGTTAGTGAAGGTTCATTCTAACCCGGCCTTCACGGGTCAAGATCGCTTTGTACAACAGCATCCTGTACGATAAACATTGCACAATAAAACAAATCATGTTCACATTTGTTCGTCTACAGGCAACTCCGTTTATAACGAACTGACGTATATCTCGAACTGAGGTTTGTGTTCGTTATTATAACCGTGGTTTACTTTATTTCGACCATAAATGTTCAACAACTTTAAGGTCTAAACTGCCGGGTACATCAAACATCTTTCCCTAGTTTAATGACGTAGTTCACAGTCATGTCATTTTTATCAGTACCTTGTAAGTTTTTAAAATATTTCTAAGAATTAAAGAAATCCTTGGGTCGTTGCACAAAGCGACTATCATAAGCCAATGTTAAAGTATGGGAGCGATTGAGTGAGTATGGTTTTACGCCGCCTTTAGCAATATTCCAGCAATATCACGACGGGGACACCAGAAATGGGCTTCACACGTTGTACCCATGTGGGGAATCGAACCCGGGTCATCGGCATGCCGAGCGAACGCTTTAACCACTAGGCTACCGCACCGCATCTTCAATATGGGAGTTATGACCACCTAATAATAGGTAGCGCTAATGTGTCTCAATGCAATTTGGCCTGGATCATTAAAGATGCCATTATATACTACTCACACTTTGATAAGGATCACAAAAATTCACAGCTTTACTTAGACGTAGATTTATAAAATGAAATGGTATCCATTTAAAACTAGATAAATATTAATATGGTAACCCCTCTTTAGGTAGACAGTCACTTTAATCTAACTTTATGCGCTTGATACATGAGAAACCATAAAAATGGTTTTCATGTCACCAATCAACCATTTTGCAAATCACGGAACGAGTCATTGACAAGTACACAACAGCAGGTATGGGATCCACAAGAAGCAATGCCATTCTGAAACCTAGGAACCATGATTAAAATAAGCTTAGATATTTCAACCAAATTTGTCCCCACATCATAAACTGACGGGCGAAAGAAACGTCACTCGCTTTTTTTACAAACTAAATTTTGGAAATTTAACAATCATATTTTGAAAATTAATGGATCTGCAACATTCTGAATGATGAAAGTGTGAACTACAGATATGAATAATCACTTAGTGCACGATAAAAGATTAAAAAATCATTTTGGTGACGTTTTCTTTCTTGAGTTTAGTTTTTAACTGAATCCATGAATTGATCCTTAGCAAAGTGTGAATAGTACAGTTAACGTGTCATAGTGTTCTTCCGTTGTGTTCCATCATGTAGTAATATGCTAGAATATCTCTGGTCACTGCTTCGCGGGAACAATTGTCTCTGAAGGGAACACTGGTGGTAGTACACGAGAGACAGGCTTACCGGATATTAGCCTTGACTGTGAGGTAAACCGATTGGATGAATGTTTTTTTATCTCCTGAAAGTGAACTAGTTGAAATGAGGTTCAAAGTGGGGTTGAAACGTACTTCATCACTTCTCTGGGAACAGACATGTATACACGCACGCACGCATGCACGCACGCACACACATACACACACACACATATATATGAAAGATATATGTGTGTTTGCATGTTTCTAAATTCTGTCTACATATTCCATATCTCATCACTCGTGTCTCTTGTAATGTTTGTTGTTCTGCATCTGTCGTTACTGTGTGCCACGATGGTCCCGTAACAAACCAAAACATGAACCTCATGAACCAATTCAGACAATGACCTACTTTTCAGCCGATCCGAATTTTCTCGTGTGATAGTGAAAAGAGACACTACAAACACCTATGGTCACGCTAAATTTCATTCCTTGTTTCATAATAAAATGGTATTTACAAATGAATTTTAATTTTAAAGTTTTAAAAATTCGTATTTCTATATTTTATGGCGAGGTGTAGGCAGCATGACGTTAACTAAGACGTCACAGACTGCCTCTCTTTGATGAGGTTGTAAAATGATTCACAATTCATCTGGTTACTGGTTCTCACTAGTTACACCTGTTGTGTGTTATTTGCGCTTATTAAGTGTACTTTTTTAACGTACAATGTGGTTGATATAATATCAAGGTCGTACAAGACAGCCTAACCTTTCTCGTTTTGAGATTTCCACGATTTCCAGATTTCCGTTTGTCAGAGCAAGCTGTACGACAGAGCACGCTGCACGGCGTGTTTTAGACTAAGGCTTAGTCTCTGAATATATATAATTTTGATAGTAACAAACAAGCCCATTTATATTGAAAAGGAGCCCTAGGGAGACCAGAGATTCAGAACCTGAGGAAATCTAGACTTGCTTTATTTAGGGCTTGAGCACTGCAGAGAGGGCTTGGCAGTAGGGAAATTAATGTGGTTCAGGGACTGTGAGACAGACTAGGCGTGTTTGCAAGTACAGTGTATTAGAAGGAGCGTAGTGTTGCAATATACAAGTGATTAAAAGTGTAACATGTATTAATATTTATATATCCAATTGAATGAGAAGGTCTCAAAATTCTGGACTGGTTATTGTACTAAGTTGCGCAATAGGAAGGAACCCAGTAACTGGAAACGAGACTGTTGCGTAATCAAATGTTTTGCAATGCCAATTTACCCTGTGGGATTCAGAGAGCATCTCGAAGTCTCCACACAGTCCCATATTTATTTGAAAAACATGAAAACTTATTATCAAATCACAACTTTCCTTCTTTTTCCTTCCATTTTTTATATACTGTATATATATCATGCCGACATTTCGACAGTGATCCAATGAATATCAGAATGACAAATGCTTTATTCAGGGGTATCAATTACAATCGGTACCAAACGAACTTTCTCCACGTCTGTTGACATGACCCTACCATGACACCAGTTGCATGCTTTGTCTGTCACCTACAGCCGACATGGTATTTATCTCGACACCCCCTTTGCATAACAGACGCACGCCCCTTCCCCTCCCTTCGAGGGGTTACTTTCTCAGTAGGGTGGACTGTTAACACAGCGTGCAATCACATCCGGCACGCCGGTTTCACCTAAAAGCATGACCGGGTCACAACTGCGGACGGCTTTGATGCAAGCAGGCGCACCTGTTTCGACCACCCGCCATCCACCTCCACCGCATCTCGCGTGACCCGACGTTGCTCAAGACCGTCGCGACGACCTCACGATGAACTAGGGAATTGACTAACACTATTGTTTTGCTCAACATTGGCAGATGGCGCGTACCCATCCTCAATGGAATTATAGGAAGCCCATTTGCTCTGTGCGAGCACTGACTTCTGGAATTTATTGAGGAGATAGCATCAGCAGATTATCTGTCACCGTACACCCCT